TTTGTATTGTTGCAGATCTGTAACCTCTCCAGTCAAACCTGGTGTTACGTCCCATATTAAAATGATGATGCGTTTTTGGTACGGTGTTTGTTTTTTCCCTCCCCTTTTTTTCCCTCTTTGTCTTTACTTTCGTTTTCAGCAGGAAGACGCGGGTACCTGAGTGGTCTAATTCTGTCAATCATCAAGATGCTTAATGACGACGATCGCGCGGCTTCACCCAATGAGGGCGCGTTATTTGATTATAAAATCTGCACCTGTGCGAGAAGCGGGAGTGCTCTCGCACTCGTGTTGTTGTGATGGCACCTGCGTGCTTGTTTGTTTGTCCTGTACCATCTTAGTGTTCTTTTCTTTGATTTGGACTGTGTTTGTTTTTTCCCTCCCCTTTTTTTCCCTCTTTGTCTTTACTTTCGTTTTCAGCAGGAAGACGCGGGTACCTGAGTGGTCTAATTCTGTCAACCATCAAGATGCTTAGTGACAACAACGTGCGGCTTCACCAATGAGGGCACATTATTTGATTATAAAAACTGCACCTGCACTCTTAAAAATAAAGGTGCTTCACGATGCCATAGAAGAACCCTTTTGTCTAAATGGTTCCATAAAGAACCTTTAACATCTGAAGAACCTTTCTGTTTGACAAAAGGTTCTTTGTGGCGAAAGAAGGATTTTCAGATTACAAAAAGGTAAGAAAGAGATGGTTCTTTAAAGAACCTTTGACTAAATGGTTCTTTGTGGAACTAAAAATGGTTCTTCTATGGCATCTCTTGAAGAACCCTTTGAAGCACCTTTATTTTTAAGAGCGAGAAGCGGGAGTTCTCTTGCACGCGAGAGCACTCGTTTTGTTGTGATGGCACTTGCGTGTTTGTTTGTTTGTTCCTGTACCATCTTAATGTTTGGACACGGTTTGTGGTAAAGTCTGTGTTCTTTGATAACTTGGTGAATAATGGCCCATTCGATCTTTCTTCTCTTTGAGGTTTTCACCATTTTTGTTACATGGTTGTTAAACCAGTGTTACTAAATGGGGAAAGAGAAAAAGAACAGGTAAGATAGCATGTGATATACATGTGCCAAACTGAGTTTTCAATTGTTTATAGAACACTAGGTTAGTGACACATGCCACCTGATTGTATTTAATTGGTTGGTAGCAAGAGTAGTTTATTTAGGGCGTCCTTGATGCTGAAGATTTTTCTTTCTATTTAATTTAGGGGTTTGTTTGTGAATATTGATGGTTGAGTTAGATTAGAGGTTTTGTTTTTGTTCTTAGTAAGACTAGTTATGTTTTGTTTCTTTCTTTGATTTGGCACGGTCTTGTTCTTCTCTCTTTTCCCCTGTTTATTTTGTGAACCTTTTTGCTTGGTTATAAAGTGTATATAATTTATGTAAATAATATCCTGGGCTAAATTTTGTCACTGTAATAAACAGACACTTTGCCGAATTCAGAATGTTTTGCGTGTGATCGTTTTCCAGTACACGTCCCGTGTTTTTGATGTTGCACCCCTTATTTCCCCTAGACTTAAAAGGGTTTGTAAGACCTGGAAATCCATTTTCCACTCGTTTGGGATTCCTTTTGTCCATCTTCATCTTTTGTCACAGATGCTGGCAGACCAAAGC